CCCACACACGTGCACCTACCTACACACGCGCACCTACCTACACACGCGCACCTACCTACACACGCGCACTCACACCCACACACGCGCACCTACCCACACACGTGCACTCACACCCACACACGCGCACCTACCTACACACGTGCACCTACCCACACACGTGCACTCACATCCACACACGTGCACTCACACCCACACACGTGCACCTACCTACACACGAGCACCTACCTACACACGCGCACCTACCCACACACGCGCACTCACATCCACACACGTGCACTCACACCCACACACGTGCACCTACCTACACACGAGCACTCACATCCACGCACGTGCACTCACACCCACACACGCGCACCTACCTACACACGCGCACTCACATCCACACACGTGCACTCACACCCACACACGCGCACCTACCTACACACGTGCACCTACCTACACACGAGCACTCACACCCACACATGCGCACCTACCTACACACGCGCACCTACCCACACACGCGCACTCACATCCACACACGTGCACTCACACCCACACACGAGCACCTACCTACACACGAGCACCTACCTACACACGAGCACTCACACCCACACACGAGCACCTACCTACACACGTGCACCTACCTACACACGTGCACCTACCTACACACGCGCACTCACACCCACACACGTGCACCTACCCACACACGTGCACTCACACCCACACATGCGCACCTACCTACACACGTGCACTTCCACCCACACACGTGCACCTACCCACACACGTGCACCTACCTACACACGCGCACCTACCTACACACGAGCACTCACACCTACACACGTGCACGCAGGTGAATGCATGCACTAACTCTATCACTCACGTCCACACATGTGCACACATGCATACACGCACTCGTGTGCATAGACACGATCATTCACGCATACACATGCATGCACGCACGCACGCACGCATACGACAGCGAAAGCAAGCAAATGACTTGGTGCATTAATTCATTGCCAGTTGATGCTCCAGTCAGTACAACAACACTTGACATATTCATATATGCAATCCCTTCACGTATATGAGCTCAGCACGTAGACAAGAAAGACTACGCCAGAGGCCAAGCAGTGTGTCGCCTAACAGCGTTAAAATTATATACGCACTGCATTAGTTCATATATTACATATATTACACACCTCAATCTACAACTGCACACTTAAATGGGCTCTTCACACTTTTCCGTGCCTTGCGCAGCATGTATATATTATATACGTGCAACAAATTTAGCAAGATGCCTGCATGCTAGAGAGAGCAAGGAAGATGCAGTAAGTAGACTGGCATTCATATTTGATGACATAAGCCGTGAATAACAGAGAACTTGAAAACGAAATTCCCCATCTTGCTGAAATACTGCCGATATGAACTGAGGGGAGCATATATATACAAATGCATTCCGAGTTGACAGTGCAAGCAAGTTTTTAGTGAACAACACAATGAACTGATTATCTTAAATTTTACAAACAGAAAGACATATTATATATATGAGGACACAGACAGACAGACAGAGACGTGCACAGACAGACAGTCAAGCTGTCAGACAGGCAGACAGGCAGTCAGACAGGCAGGAGTGGGTTACTGTACACGGCAGACGTGTAGCCGTGGATGTACGCAGCAGCCTACGCTACTCTCATCCCACACAGTCTGGCAGTCTCCTACAGAACAAATGCATTTGCCATTGTTGGTCACAACCTGCTGCTGCGGCTCGGATCAATTCCGCAAGCAGTGAGTCCATCCAGAGGCGAGGCGGAGAGCGCCACTGTACCTTCACGCACGTCATCCATTCGCCATTAAAGTCGATTTAAACTACAGCACAGCTTTTCCACGATTTCACCGAACAACGGCTCAGCACAAAAAAACGGTGGGAGAAGCGCAACGAGACAAAGGGAGGGAGGAGGAAGAAGGGAGGCGGCAGAGTAAAACATAGAGACATGTTGCAGATCTGTTAATGCTGGGAAGAAGCCAGAGTGGAGAATGACAAAAACGTGAGAAACTGGAAGGAAGGCGCAAATAGAATCGCATTCCTTCATTTCAGATATTCACATTACTGGTATAATTTACAGTTACCATATACAAAAGTAAACTTCTGCACTAGCTCAGCATATCTCAGAAAGACTACGCCAAAAGCCAAGCAGTGTGTCGTCTCACGGCGTAAACTTCTGCATCAGCAAAACGAACTAACGAGATCAAGTGAAGCCAACTTCTACGGGAAGAGGCAGGACGGAAGGACCAACACAGAAGTGTTAATGACCAGCAATCGGAGATCACGGCTGAGGGAGATGGCGTACAGAATGCGGTGCGGTGGAACAAGGACCACGCTTCACGCGCTGACAGCCTGCCAGCTATAAACATGCATAGCAGCGATTTGTTTACATCCGGCGTTTCTCCGTGGCAACCGATCGTAGTTTACAACGCAGGGGGCGCTTACGCCGCCTCGTCTGGTGATGGGACGACTCCATCGTAAACACGATGCCTCAAAATAACCGCTCGTGCGTGCAGGAGAATCTCACGTGTGCGAGCGGGCTGATAGAGGCACAGAGAATGCTGCTCAAGCAACTGCAGATGTTATACGACGAAACGATGCAATGTCAGGCATTCGGGTTAGCTGGTGTACGTGTGTGTGGGTGCGTGTGCGTGCATGTGTGTGTGTGCATCAAAAGACAAACAAGTACACGAATGTCCACTCTGTGATGGACGCAGAGTATTTTGCTGATGGTTTTGAGATTTTTTTTGCAAGGAAACAAGAACTGTGCTTAAGTCACAAATTTACGAGGTCAACATCTGGAGATTTTAGTACGTTTTCCTAGATTCAAAACTGGTTTCGCTTAGACACTGCCATATATAATTCACATCCTGTGTTTAATTTGAAAGTGTATTTATTGTACTTAGTTCCAAACCATTTGTCCTAGTTAGGTTTAGGTTATTAAGAACGATGGGTTATAAAAATCATGTATGATGATGACGGTATATATACGTGGACCCTCACTAAGGAAGGATGAAGCCAAAGCAAGTATACGTGCAAGAAGAAAATGCAATTCTTTTCTGTATCCCAGTAACAAATGTTCAGGGAAACGTTAGATGCTAACAACAAAGCTACATTGTCCCACCTCAAACTAGCAGGAGAAGCATTGCTACTGTTTATTGTATGCATCACTGTGGTTAATTATTTGTGTACAATATGGTGGTATCATTATGTAACTAAGGCTGATAGGGTCTATGTCCCCCAGAGTACAGATCTAACCCAGGGTACGATCCGGCAGTACCCAGGGGGATATAGACCCTATCAGCGTAACTAAGTGTGCCTCCATAACTTGAATGGACAGAATACATGGGAGAAAGTCATTATGTTGTTCGATGATAGGTATTTTTGTCAATATTACTTTAAATAAAGGCTAAATTAACGGTTTAAAAGTAATTCCATACATCATAGCTTATAAAAATCGACTCCTCGCGATTGAATTATAGGTGTGATGCAGCAGCAGAGAAAATCAAGGACAACTTACAAAATTAAAAAGTTAAATATTTGTTCAATCGCTCGTCGTTACACGGACACATTTGCAGACTGCAAAACATGGCGCTAATGCTATCTTCTGCAGACACTTCAAGTTCTTGCTGCATAGCTCACAGATGTCTATATCTGTTAATAAGATTAATCACTAAGAGTTTTAATTATATAACCTCTGACAGTGGCGCCCGCAGATAAAAGCACTGGAAGCCCAGCGCTTCCAGTAAATTTTGGGTTAAACAATTTTGTTCAGCTAGGACTACATTTTGTTCCTAAATCTCTCTCGCAAGACTCACCAAATTGCATTTCCAGACGTCTACCATTCAAAAAATTTCAGGGGGGCATGCCCCCAGACCCCCCTAGCATGCAGCGCGCCTACGGAACTTGCTTTTTATTAGCACTGAGGATTTTATCCTTCTGTGCTTCTACTTTCTTAAGACCTGTGGGCGCCAGTGACCTCTGATGCTATATATCTCCCAACGCACTCATTTTTCACGATGACAACGTTCATTTTGCGTTTAGCTACATGCAAACCCTATACCTGTAGCTGTACTTTTCGATGGTCGTTAGGGAAATCGCAAGTCAGGAAATTGAAAAGAAGCCATAGCATGGCATGGGCACGGCGACTTCGTAATGCTTATTTCGTAGAATGTGCCGATGTGCGGATGTGCCAGATACTTGTATTACTTGTACGTAGTAGTTGTAGTTGCACATCTACTGCGTTCGATCTGTACGTACGTGACGACACACGCGCGTGCCTGTCTGTATTTATGATGCAGGGCTGGGGTTCAGCCGACTGTGATTCACTTTTTCGTTTTGTGACAATTAACTCATCATACTTACTTTACTGTTGAAATCTTTCAGTATTTTGTTCACTTCATCTTCTGTGCCACTCTCTAATAGAGCTAGCGTTGATTCGTCCATCTCTGAACGTCTAATAGTGGCATAAAAAGTTAATCCAGTTCGGTTCTCACATTCACAAACACAGATCCACAGAATCACACAACGACGTCTGCGAAGAAAATCTCGTGTTTTCACGAAAATCACGTTCAGCTGATCCCGTCCGCTAGGCTCGCTAGTTGACGATATAGACAGTCAACCTGTCCCTTCACTGCGCTAAATAAAACACGTTATTACCAAAATAAAAGAGTATATTACCAGTCTAAGCCACACTACGCTGTGTTTGGTTAAATTGGTTTGTGGACAAGTGAGCAGCGATATGGCAGCCTTCATAAGTTCTGCGAAATCTTTTCGCCCAGTGTTATTAAAGTTGTTTTCGTTAAAGTTTGGTAATTACACGTTTTTCTAACTTAACCTACAGCCAATTAATTGGGCCAAGGATATAAGAGCTGCTTCTGCAAAGCGCTACTAAGCGCACGTTGCAAATATGACTTGGGATCAGCATGAGCAATGTCAATGAATCCATTCTAATTTCCATCATCCATGCCATGGCATGGGGCATGAACCATGACGTTTACAATTATGTTTACAATGAATTTTAAAAATAAAATTAAATACATTTACGCCCCAACCATTGTTTCTATGTGTTCTTTGCATTGATCATGATACTATTACTTATTAGTATTATCAGGAGTAAGATAATATATAGGATCCTATATTATAGGATAATATAGGTATTAGGATATAGGATCCTATATTATCTTACTCCTGGTATTATTATTACTACTCCTACTCAGGCTACTGCCAGTGCTGTAGTCCAGCATAACAACGCGTCAACAGCGTCTGTCCTTACACTTGAAGTGTCACTTTCTTCTGTGCTGTGCAGCTTGTTACAGGAATCCACACACAAATGTTCCATTATGTGGTATCTAGTTGAGTTACTATTTCAAAAGCAAATCGTATTTTCTCGTACTCTGTCAGTATCGCTCCATCTGCGTCAGTATCATCCGAACATGAATATTGCTTTCGACATCGATTTCGCTTTTCGCATGCAAATTAAACTTGTAACTTTTTACAAGCTTTATCAATTTCAGAGTAAAATTGTCTTCGCTACCCCGAACCTGAAAAATTTGTGGCAAATGCCACTGTGTCCCCGAAATAGTTTTAAAACTGAATTTAGCGCCGGATCTAATGCATAATACAGTTAACGCTTTGTCATGCTTTAGGAAATGTCCACCACACAAGGACGATATCGGCATTGGTGCAGCTGTCAGAAACGCACGAGATGTTACGGAAAACCTGCCGTGACTTTGCACAGAACGAACTGAAGCCGATAGCTGCTCAAATCGACCGGGACCACCAGTACCCGAAAGAACAGGTATGCAGGTCATGATGTTTACCGGTCACATATACGATATAGACAGTCCCTGGTTTATGTGCCTGGTAGTGCCCCTTGAGTTACGCAAACTTACTCGCATAATGACGTCTGGGGCACAGTGCATGGTGCGCGTGCCAATTTGAACATTGGATCGGACTGCCAGACATACGTTTGATCCGACAAATGCACGTAAACGTCGACTCACGTAAATGGTCTCGGAACATAAAGCTCATGTAAACCATAGGGGGTGACTATTGGGTGCATGTCCAAATCGAAACTCAACGGGTTGATTAGATTTACATTAAACCATCAACTAGATGGTAAACGGTAGCGGGCGTTTAGCTTGTAGATTCGTAGGGCTATAAGCTAGCCTCTATTTACGTTTTTTCGTAGGTGCGTAAGATGGGAGAGCTCGGACTGTTGGCGATCGACGTTCCGGAGGAAGATGGCGGTACGGGACTCGACTACCTCGCATATGCCATCGCCATGGAGGAGATCAGTCGTGGATGCGCATCTGCCGGTGTTATCATGAGTGTGATGAATGTAAGTAAAAGACCGGCGCTAACGACAGCAATCTAAACAGCTAACGAATCTTAATCAGATTAGCAGTCTAGGCAAAGCCGATTGTAAATTGTAAATGAATTAATCTTCTGTATGAGGCAATGATTCTACCTGCAAATTATCTCGTCCATTTGATAAAGGTAGCTTTTTTTTAAATTTGTTCTTTCACATATTTTGCAGTCACTTTACCTGGGACCGATCAAGAAGCATGCAAATCCAGCACAAAAGGAACAGTTTCTGAGGCCGTTCGTTGGCGGAGAGAGGGTCGGATGTTTTGCCCTGAGTGAACCAGGTAAAGACAGACATGGCTGATGTTCTCATATCTCACACGAGTGCATTGACAGACCTTAAACTTAAGAGTCTACACAGGCATAATTGTTTATTAAAGAGGGAATATACAATGTCAAACAGATTATAATATAGCCTTCCTTTTTCTACTTTTACATTCTGTATGTAATACATGCAGGTTTTCTCTGGCAGGAAACGGCAGCGATGCTGGTGCAGCGTCCACCATGGCTAAGGACAACCCTGACCACTGGCTTCTGAATGGCTCAAAGGCTTGGATCACGAACGGATACGAGGCGGAGGGAGTTGTTCTCTTCGCAACAACCGACAAAGCTCTCAAACACAAGGTATCTGCAATATGTATTTGAGTTGGGAGGCTCCACTGGTTCAGATTTCATGTCTTCGACGAAGAAGGTTTATGCCATGATAGCAATGATTGACTCGTTTTCACTTATGGTATAGTCTCGTCAGGTGCTTCTAACGTTTGCTTTGCGTTGAAGCACAGTGTTAAGCTAAATTTCTCCCACAGACTTATGCTGCCTAAACTCGCAAAATCAAACGGTTGATAAAAATTCTATTTCTTCTCTATACGCACATGAGATGCGACCACTATCCTTCACCATCCTGACTACATGTTCTGCGGTCTGACGAAAGTGTGAGAATATTGGAATTTTTTTTCGGAAATTTTAGGGTATAAGTGCGTTTCTGGTTCCGAAACCCATGGCAGGTCTGTCAGTGGGGAAGAAGGAAGACAAGTTGGGCATCAGGGCCAGCTCGACCACCACTCTGACGTTCGAGGATTGCAAGCTGCCGAAAGAGAGCATCCTCGGTGAACGCGGAATGGGCTTCAAAATTGCAATGGTGCGTTTTTTTATGAGAATGCGATGGGAACGAGCGAGAGCGAAGTTATGCCCGATACGTGTCCGGCTTATTTAGGTGTTGCTCAATATTTGTATACATTACAGGGTTGCGGGTGCTAATGCTACCAGTGTTGCATGTTCCAGTTTATTTAGTTTTTATACGTCTCACACGCAAGGGAATGTCTTTATTGTCTCTATTGGTTTTACAACAACATGGTTCATGTTGAAATTTAATGAGCTTTGTGTATAAATTCTTTACCCTTGTTCCGTGATAGGAAACGTTAGATGCTGGCAGAATCGGCATTGCGTCGCAAGCATTGGGCATTGCACAGGTAAGTACTATATATAGTTTACACTACTAAACATTTCTTCCGATAATTGTACGTTATAGTTGTTGTATATGTCAAACATTTTAATGAGGATGCATATTGTAATTTGCTGTGATAGTTCCCTTTCCTAATATCTCTGCAGGCTTCCCTCGATTGTGCTGTTGACTATGCAGGAACAAGACAGGCCTTTGGAGCTCCGATTGCCAAGCTGCAAGCTATTCAGGTTTTCATATCCTATACCCTCTAATCAATTAATGCATTAGTGTGTAACCAGTATAGATTAATCGTGGAAATTCTATAACAATCAGGATTAGAATTAATTGCATTGAATTTAGCTGAGATGTTATTAGTTGGTAATGTGATTCTGTATTTATTATTTGGGAGTCTGCTGCCTGTATATTTATAACAGATTTTGTTTTTCGACAGATGACATTAGCGAACATGGCTGTGGCGCTAGAATCGGCAAGACTGCTCACTTGGCGTGCAGCTTCTCTGAAGGATGCTGGGAAGAAATTTACGAAGGAGGCGGCCATGGCTAAGCTGGCTGCATCCGAAGCAGCAACCTTGTGTTCCCACCAGGTAAGCAGCAACCTTGTGTTCCCACCAGGTAAGCAGCAACCTTGTGTTCCCACCAGGTAAGCAGCAACCTTGTGTTCCCACCAGGTAAGCAGCAACCTTGTGTTCCCACCAGGTAAGCAGCAACCTTGTGTTCCCACCAGGTAAGTAGTAGGCAACCGTAAATTTCGTACACGTATAGAATTGGGGTCTTTGATGATTTGAACTACAAATGGTACTTATATTCAGAGAATGTAGTTTTCAATTGAATCTGATATGAAAAACCTTTTATATCAATTGGCCAAAGTTGGTAAATGAAGAGCATATTTTTTCTACGTTTGTTACATGCTCTACTGACAACTCTGGCATTATAATATATCCATAAAATAACGATCGAGTATATCTATGGTATAGATAGGTTTGTTGCATCACACATTCGTGATATATAAACATGCGGTAAACCTCTACTAGAGGACAGCACGTTACCCTTTTAGTTTCACGTAGATTTATGCATTCAACATATTTCAACACCACATATAAGTTTAGGGCCCTGTGGTATAACATGGGACTGCAGGCTTTGAAATTTTAAGACCATACTTTTAAGGATCATTTCTAAAGTATGTGTTGCGAAAGGTTCACACAAAAGTGACCAATTAGCTAAACCACGATGAGGAGAGAGGGTGATCTCCTTTGAGCGTGAAGCTGGTTTTGGTTGTCATTACTCAGTGACCTGACCTTAACCATTGATGACCGTTCCAACCCTCCCATTGCGGAGGGTTGGAGGAGGAGATCGCATTCTGAGTGGTTTAGCTTTTTTAACAAACAAAATTAATTACTAAAAACATTTACAAACTCTGTTGTTAGTTAGAAATCTTCTAATGTAATAAATTTATATACATAAGTTCGTATCTTTATCTTTGAAATAAGAACCACATATCTTACATGTTATTAATTTATACAGTGTTATTGGTATTACAATTATTACTTGATTGCAATGCAGTGATTTAATGGTCAATTTAACGTATCCGTCATTCTGTTTGCAGGCTATTCAGGTGTTGGGCGGGATGGGTTACGTAACAGATATGCCTGCAGAGAGGCACTACCGTGACGCTAGAATCACGGAGATCTACGAGGGAACCAGCGAGATTCAGAGACTTGTCATAGCCGGTAACCTATTGAAGGAATACGGGCAGTGATGTGTGAACGCCGTGGAAGATGGCACGTCTATGTGTAATTTTGTTAGTAATTTGGAGTGCGAATTACTGAGAAATCATTTGCCAAAAATCGTCTAGAGCGACTGGACTATATAGCGAAGGCAAAATATTTTGATAGCAGCAGTTTGTCAGACATCCATGCTATGCCTGTAATGTGTACATATGGTTATTTTGATTTAATATAATAAAGAGCATTGATAAATATGTTGAAATGGATATGAGCGTAACAAGTTGTTTCATGCACTTTAGGATACTTACTTTCCATTTCTCTCTCTCTCTCTCTCTCTCTCTCTCTCTCTCTCTCTCCCCCTCCCCCCTGACTCCCTCCCTCTCATTCCCCCTCCTCTCTCGACCTCCCTTCCTCTCTTCTTTCTCCCGCTCTTTCTCTCTCCCACCTCTCTCTCCCACCTCTCTCTCCACCCTCTCTTTCTCCCCTCCCTCTCTCACTGTCACTCGCATTCTGACCTTCTTAGTTCTATCTACTACGGTCCAGCCTGCAGTTTTCCCACACATGCTAGCTGCTACTGGACACGACTGCGGTTACACCAATGTGTTGTTGATGTCCTCACACTCACTACATGCAGCATTAATGACTGTCCCCAGGCACACACATGTACTTCACCCACGCAAAGCTACGCGTAATACTCCCACTACACTGTCGCTCTACTCTACGGCTAAACTTCCTGGAACGCGCACAATGTTTGTGTATGCGTGCGACTGACTGAGGGTAAGAAGAAATCTGGACTCTCGCACCATGATAGTGTGCTAAGCCCTAACAAACGAAAGGCACACAGAAACATAAATCACAGTCGCGGAACGATAAACATTGCCTGTGTAACGCTGTATGATCTACGATTATCTGTGCAATAAACTTTATTGGAATTTGAATTTGAATTTGAATTTTGAGGGTGGTGCGACAGTCACTTGTATGTTTGGTGGTAAGACTGGTTCACCAGGAACGTCCCACATGGCTGTGAACTATCTGACACGCACTTACACTCTAGCTCATAGTGTCTGCTTTCGAGTTGATGCTGCGACCAAGAATTCCCTGTGAAGTGATCTTCTCATCAACAGATTCTCTCGCAGACGACAGAGTGAGTATAAAAAATAGATTGAATTCTATAAGTCGCTGTTGGAATCAACAAGCACGTCTTGTGGCACCTACGGGGGACATTTGCACTCAAGTTATTTGCATCAGAGCTGTCAAAAGAGTATCGTAAGGAATGGCGTAGAGTTATAGTTGAACTGTTTATAGTTTTTGCTCGGCCCCAGCTCCGTGCTACGCACGTACGAGAGCAACACCCTGTTGCTTCTCTCAGGGGGGCGGTCGGATTTCACCGCCATCGATCGCAGGTCACTGTCTTTTCACAGTAAATGACACCGACACTTGCGTGTGTGGAGCAGCATCTTTGAGTGTGAGAGAATGACCGGCTGTGTACACTGATCGCCCCCACCCCCACCCACACCGCTAGCAGCAGGGAGACCAGGGGCCAGGGCAGATGTGCCGCTAGAAAATCGGTGAGAACACAGTTTGTGCTCATGACTCGAGGAGTGAGAAAGTGCGGTTATTCGCGCTTGCTAAAACGTTAGCCGTCAATGTTTAGCGTGGAGGCAAATCTTCGATATTACACATTGTTTTCTTTGAAAGAGCGAAGTACTTAATTTATTGCACTTCTATCTTCAGTTATAACAGGAGGTATCAGTCATGGAGGACGTCGATTGGAGAGATTTGCTGGTTATAGCTGCATACTTTGTCCTGGTGCTTGCAGTTGGACTGACGGTGAGTCATTTACTATATATGTATGCCATTGCTTTATATATATATATATATATATATGCGTATGTGTGCGTTCGTGCGTGCATGTGCGTGTGTGTGTGCGTTCGTATCTGAGTGTGTTTTCTAATAGTGCACATCTCTTTTCTAGGTCACCTTTCTCGCCAGTAAGCGCAATGTGAAAGGCTACTTCCTGGCTTCCCGGGAGATGCTCTGGCTACCGGTATGATTTTATTTTTATTTTTTATTTCATTTTTCTATTCTAGAAACGTACGTTACACAAACAGTTGAAGTGCCATCTGGTATACATACGTACAGTCAAATCTGTGTTAGTGGTTACCTCTATAGAACGGACACCTGTCTGTAAGATCATTTTGAGTATCCCTGGAGTAATCTGTCTACAGTGAAACCATCTTTAGAGAATGCATGCATGCCTGCCTATGAAGGATGCTTTTGACATTTTACATTGTCAAAAAATATCAAGTAAGTAGTAAGTGCTTTTATACATCGGTTTTTACAGTAAATTACATTTTCGTTACCAAATAATCACTGATCATTCCATATATAGTTTAGTAATTTAAATTATATAAATAAATAACACTTCTACTACATGCTACGTGGGGAGTGTGGGCTTGCGGGTAGCTGCAAGAAACAATCGCGTATCGCACGACCGTTGATATATAGACGTTTAGTCTCTCCGTCACGTCAGGCTTCCGTGCAGCTAGAAAGATGCGCCACCTCGTTACCGCTCGTCTGCCCATCCATCGCTGACTGTGGTTTGTTGTTTGCTCAGGTGGGTGCCTCTCTCTACATGTCCAACATCGGCAGTGAACACTTCATAGGACTGGCAGGAACGGGAGCAGCGTCCGGAATAGCCATTGTCATGTTCGAATTCAGCGTGAGTGAAACCGCTCAACCGCTCCATAGCTTCTGGGGTCATCAGTAGACTCGCTATGAATCGTTTAGAAGTGGGACAACATTCGCTTTCGTGGCGGGTTCGGAATTTCTAGTAATGTTACGCGTGACTTTGAGAACTGGTGGGATTTTGGTAGGAATAGCATATAGATTTACACTGTTCTTCCTGTGTAACACGTGCAAGCATGATGTCCCACAATTATTCGCCTCTCTCACTTCGTCGTTGTTTTTCTAGTCGTTGCTGTCTGTGTTACACGTTGTTGTGCTGGGACGTCGTGCTATGTTCATCGTACGTTTGTTTGTTGTTTTTTTCATTGTTGTTTACATGTTGTTCTCCCTCTGACTGTTGCAGTCAGCAGTGCTGGTCGTCATCCTGGGATGGCTCTTCATGCCCGTGTT